CAACCTTGTCCGCATGTCTTTGGACGGTGGGAGGAAGCCAGAGCACCCGGAGTGTTGAGCCAGTTTTAAGTCTAAATTGTCTCAAGCTTTAAAAGGTGAATCATGAAGAACTCTTTGTGACAGCGACTGCATTGAATTAGATTCTGGGCTTTTTGCAGCTGGTCAAGGTTACCTTTCTACAACCACCTTCACACATCTGCCTGTCACAAGTCTGTCTCCTGATGTTGTTGAGTCTGACTGTAGTTTCTGATGTGCTCTGTGTTACAGTGATACAGGCTCAGAATGGCTGGGGAGTGACTTACACCTCTACTCAGATCTGTGCCTTAAAAGGATCAACAGTGGAAATAAGCTGCACCTACACATACCCATCCAGAATAAATGGCCGTGATACTACAGTTGAGGAAACATTCTGGTTTACTCAGATGAATGGAGATGTACCTGTGGATCTGAGAACAGACTCAGAGTACGCAGGTCGTTTGCAGTACAGTTGTTCTGACAACATCTGCACTCTGAGAATCACAGACCTGAGAGAGAGCGACTCAGCTGAGTACAAGTTCAGGTTCATAACAAACCAACCAGGTGGAAGATTTTATGGTTCACCTGGAGTCACTTTGTCTGTCACAGGTAACATTTGTGTTGGAAACCATGTACATTGGCTGTTAATCTACTGTTAATCTCAGTGTGCCAATTATCATACTTGGAAATTGACAGTTCAGTTATTATAATTTTGTTTCTTTACAAATACAGGTTTCCAGGTGCAGATGAGCAGCTCACAATCATGCAAGACTTACATTTGTACATGGTCACAGCTGAAGTGTCTCAGCAGCTGTCGTCTACCTGATCAAACCTCCTACATCTGGTACAAGAATGGACAGAAGATTAAGGAAGCATCTTCTTATTCAGACTACTTTTATCCTGCAGACAGCTATTCATGTGCCCTTAAAGGACATGAGGAATTTCCTTCTCCATCAGTGTGTGAGTTCACTCCACAATCTTCTACTAATGTGACTAATGTTCTGTACCATGACCAGTGTTGGGCTGAAATTGTAATTGTACTAGTTACTTATTACTCCTTAAAAAGTAATACTTTACTTATTACCAGGTGATAAAAGTAACTATTTCCGTTACTCGTTATATATCTTTCACACCTGACTTTTGAACAACTTCTTCATGCCAAGCTGCATTTACAAATCTAGAAATTTAAAAGGCTCCAGTTTACTGCCATATACAGAGCGATTAAAACAAGATTCAGGCCTGCATTTATTTTAACCTTACCCCATGGTATTTATTTCTGTCGCGAATTGAAAACTCTGTAGGTCAGAGTGTCAACATGAAAAGAGAAGGAAGACATGGCTGGTAGTGTCTTCAAACAGAGTTGCTAAACACCTCAGCGCACTGAAGGAAGCCATCGTACTGTGAGGAGCAAGCTTGTTGATGTGTGCAGGCAGAGAAGGCCTAGAGCTCTCCCGTCTGACTGATCCACCATTAGGAGAGAAGATGACCCCTTGAGACACAGCCCCTCCTCATTTGCATAATGAGGCAGAAATGCATAGAGAAATGTAAAAAGGACAGGCAGAAATAAATACCATGGGTGAAAATAAATAGGGTAGAAAATGCAACAGAAGAATAAAACAGACGAAAATATTAAAAAACACACACATAAATAAATACATTGAAATACAAATAAGTCATTAATAAATAAAGTTGAAGATTATAACGGACAATAAATAAATAATGAAATTATTACAAAGGTGAATAAGTAAAGAAGCTAATTAAAATAGATATATACATTTATGTCTCCTTGTATAATTTAATTACTACCTACATTTATTTATTTACTTTACTTTTTTGTGCATTTAATCGGATGCTTATTTATTTATTGAACATTTATTTATTTATGAATTTGTCAGGATCAGTCCTCCATATTCTTGTTGCTGTGCTGTGCAGCTGATGCTTCAATAGATTAGATGTAGAATTGTTTTGCTGGCCGCACAAAGTTTGCATCTTATTCTGTGATAC